GGGGGGGGGGGGGAGAGGGAAGGAAGGAGCAGGAGGGGACAGGGGGGCTGTGTGACTGCATTGCGCCGTCCCTGTCAATAGGTGGACCCCCTCCCGGCCCCATAAAGCCGCCGAAGTCGAAGCTGGCAGCCTCTGCTGACTGAGATCACAGCTGCCGGTAAGCGCGCTTGGAGCGGGGCTGTGGAGGACGGCTAGGGCAGCCCTCCCATGCGGCCCAAACCAAATTTTCATCTTCGAATGTGGCCCAGGGAAGGTGAAAGTTTGGACACCTCTGATGTATAGCATAGAACGAAAACCTTTCTACTCATACAGTAAGATTGTTGGAAATGTTGCCATATGCCCCAGTGTTTGCTGGGGAACCAAACTTTTTTTTTAAAATTTGTTTTACTAGAGGGGTGTGAGGGTTCAATAATTGTCTTTGACAGTTCCAAAGTTTGCGTAGGAAAAGACAGGAACGGGTTTTCATTAAACAAAGTTTTATTAACACAACGGGGGGCTTTCTCTACAACAACTTCAACCGGATCATTAAAGGTTTGATTCACTTGCAAACTGTTCCGTAACATTGGCAATGAATTCTCATGAGTGTCATTTCCAAATGATAAGTTTGCCCAAAGCACTCCATTTGGTCGGTTTCCTCTGGCACCCACTCCGAATGGCACCGATAGTCCCATAACAGGGATGTCTCACCCACTTCCCCTCTGGAGGCTTCTCTCCGGGTTGCAGTGGTCCTGGTCTGGTCACCTTCCTCTCGGGTACACCAGGACAGTCCATTCCTCGGGATAAAGTCCTTCAATTAAGGGCTTTATATTTCCCTGTTTCTCCCCACTAACACCGCAATCTTTACCTTCTGATCCTATTCTTTTCTGGAGCACTTTGAACACTCTCAGTTCACTTTCCCCTTCAACCCATTCATCCTCCAGGACCACCAACTTTTCTGTCTCTCCTGCTGCTCCACCTTCCTCTGAAGTGAGGAAAACATACACCTCTCTTTTCCATGCTCCTCCCATTTTTCCTCCCACCTTTAACCCTTTCATGTTCTTAGACACCTTAAGCATCTCCTCTCTCACAGCTCCTTCATCTTTTGCCTCCCGCTCAGACGTGTGAGGGGACAGCTCACTCTCTTTTGCTTCCTCTTTTTTCTCCTCTTGCTCACAAGGGGCAGATGTTTCAGATATTGATCATTATTTATTTATTTATTTATTTATTTATTTATTTATTTATTTATTTATTTTATTAATTATATTTATATTCTGTCCATCTAGTGCCCAAGTACTAATCTGGGTGGCTAACAGCAATTAAAAACAGAACTAAAATTCAGAATGTTATTTGATGCTTTCCTAAAGGGCTGTGTTGAAACATATTTCTCATAAAGTGTAAATTCAGTGAAGTTTTCCCAGAATTTTCCCTCCATCTTATTAATAAACATTCCAAATCACCTTGCTTTGGGCTGATATATTTTGTTGCCTCCTATATCCAAAAAATGTTTTTATTATCTCTAGGAATATTCAGTGAAATGTACAAATGTTTCCTAATCACATCTTAATAAACGAATCCAAGTCATGAGGTGGTGAGATAACAGTTTACTGGAATTTCTTTCACAATCCTCGGCCTATGAGTATTTTTGGCTTTATGAAAAGTCCTTTCTAAGTCTTTCTGGATTTCCTTTTTCCTTTGTTCTCAAGCAGTTCTTTGCTTCCACAATTTTAGAAAGAGTTTGTTGACTTTTTTCTGGGTGTGTTCTGTACACTATTTTTCATATTTCCTGGATGGTAGTGCAAAATACTTATGATATGTTAGCTATTACTTTGTATTTTAATATTATATTATATTGTATTTTATTGTTTGGGAAGCTGCCAAGATAACATGTATGGTTGGTTGACTATGTAAATTATTATTAGTAGTGATGGTAGTAGTAGTGTGGAATCTGTGTTTTATTATTCGGTTTCTTTTTTCCCCCTTCCCCTCCGCTTCAGATTCCGTCAGATCTTCTGGATAAGGAGTTTCTTCCTATTTTACAGGAAGAGCCCCTACCACCCTTGGCACTAGTACCTTTTACAGAAGAAGAACAGGTTGGTTTCTAATGAAATGAACAAGTGGAAATTTCTAAATTTGATTAATGAATAAAAGTCTAAAGATCCTAATGTGATCACACATTGATAATTAGGGGTTCATACGACCATTTGAGCTACAAGGGCCGTATCTGGTGTTGGCAACATATACGTGTGCACACTCTCCCCTTCTCCGTCTTTATGTGCAGAGGTTGAGAGATCTAGGGTTAAATGGAGGAGAGGAACAGACAGAAACCTCCACAATCGTTTCCATGAAGAGAGTGTTTCTCTCCTGTTGCTGGTGGTGAGAAAACAATAATTTTCATTGGGAATGCAGAAGTATGAGGAAGCTAAAACCCTCTCCACAAAGATCTCAGTACCAGGATCTCAGCAGTGTGTTTTACCAATTGCCTACCTGATGAGCTGTGCTGTGGGGAAAAGTGGATGGGTGCAGCACCGGGTGTGTTCAGAGGTCATATGTAGCTACCAGACCATAAATGTGACACCTGTGTTTTATGCTGAGAGAGAAGCACACAACCATAGTATATTTGCCCAGCTTTGATGTTAGTTCTGTGGCAATTTAACATTCAGTGATGTTGAACTGAAATAGATATTAGTGTGCTTCATTCTAAATTAGGGATGGAAAATGTGTACTTGCTGTTGCTGTGGAAGGGGAGGAAAAAAGATTAGATAAGTGTAGCACATACTTAATTTTTTTAAAAAATGTGATCTTATATACATACATTTGCATCATTCTCATGGTTTGCCAGAAGCAGAACCTGCAGTCTTTCCTCTCCTGAAATTATTTGTAGAAGAACTAAGCATGCCTTCTGGTATGCATAATTAGCTATCTGCAAAAGATTAGACTTTTTTCCTGGAGAACCTGTGTGGTATAAGTGCATCATGTGTGAAGCATAGACCAGGCTTACTAGGGGTCAGTCCTATCCCAGGATTGCTCACCACAGGATTTCTCATCTTCCTTTATTAGCAAGGCAGCCAGCACTCTCTCACCCCTAGATTTCAGAATCACTTTCTTCCAAAGGTAAAAGGACCTTCGAGGGAGAACATGAAGGAGATGGTAGTAGGTTGATGGCCTATGGGAAACATATCACACATCTAGATAAGTGTTTCTGGTCCTTTCAAAATGTCTCTACATTCAGACAAAACTCTTCCAAAATTACTTTCTTTTAGTAATTAAGAAGTTGTTCCATTGTCAGGATTAAGTTTTTTTTGTTACTGTACAGTTATTTTACATACATGGATAAATAGTACAGCATGTGTGCCAGCAAGAAAACTGTGCCTGATGGATGTGAGACAACAAGGAGTAAGGGAATGCAGGGGTGCTGGAAGTGAAGTATCCGTTTGCAGTAATTATCTTCCTGTGTGGAATAATACCTTAATTTACTTTTAGCTGTTTTCCTGTATCAACTCAATATCTAACTCCCACTCAGTGTCTGACTTTTTGTGTAATATTAAATGGGCTGGGAAAACTTTGTGTATTGGCTCCATTCAGTAGGGGTTACTTTGTTGGATGCTGCATGCTAGAAGTAGGTGGGGCCAAATTCAGTATTAAGTGTAGCCTGAGCACAAAATGAGTAGATGTCATCTTTCCACCATTCCCTTTTCCTCTATCTATTTCTGTATCTCACTGTTTAGTGAGCTGTCTGTGTCGGGTCCTGCAAGGGTTCTGAACTTGCCACTTGGAACAGACTTATACAGATAGCTAAACCATGGTTTTTGTGCTACTTGAATGAGTGTGGATTTGCTGTAGACCCATTCTTCTTTCTTGCCTAGTTTGTCTGCAAGGAAATCAGAAACATCAATTTTCATGTTTAAACCAATGGTGGCATGTTGTGCATTTAGCCAGACCAAAACAATATGTTTAAGGAAGGGATGGGTGATCTCCAAAGGCCACATATTCCCATCCCTGTATCTTTGAGCAGTGCACCCACTCCCGTAGCCTTTAGTCCCCCAATTTTTCATATAAAAATTAAGTAAAAAACAAAAACACAACCCAAGCCTCCCTTGCATTATCTAGTAATCAAACTTAATAAAAATATATTTGAAATGTTGGCATATAAATGGGTCTTGGGGTGGCGGCGTCCCAATAAATATATAGAATTGTCATTTGTGTTGCTAGAAGACACTTCTTCGGCAAAATCTTTTTCCCAGAAAATAGCAACATTACTTTGAGGGTACCTGTGGGGTAGAGTGCTAGGATGGTCATTTGGGCCTGGAGCATACATATTGCCCACCCATGGTTTAAGATATGGCTTACTGAAAGAAGCCAAAATCAACTCATACTTCTGATCCTGGCTTGTTCCAATAAACTACCATGGTGCCTCAACTTACGAACTTTTTGGTTCCAGAACTCCGGTTGTAACTCGCACCGTTTCCCATGGGAATGCATTGAAATGCAATTAATCCATTCCAGCTGAAGAAAAAATTGCCAAACGAAAACAAAAAACAAAACAAAACTGCAAGACCCATCGGAAACGCTATCAATCCTTTCCAGCCAAAGGGGCGGGGGAAAGAAAAACAAACAAACCATGCAAGCCCCTTCGGAAATGCAAAAAGAGCAAAGCAAAAAGCAAACAAACACTGCAAGACCCTTTGGAAATGCAAAAAAGCAAAGCAAAAAGCAAGCAATCCCTGCAAGACCAATTTGAAATGTAAAAAAGAAAGAAAGAAAAAAGAAAAAAAAGCAAACAAACCCTGCAAGACCCATTGGAAATGGGGGAAAAAAACCCAAAAAGCAAACAAACCCTGTAAGACCCATGGGAAATGGGGAAATAAAAAGCCAAGAAGCAGACAAACCCTGCAAGACCCATCAGAAATGGGAAAAAAACCCTTCAAGACCCATTGGAAATGCGAAAAAAATCCCAAAAAAACAAAGGCTGCAAGACCCATCACAGCACAGAAACATAACCCCCCCAGCCCAAAACCACACTGCAAAACACACCAAGACCAGTTTTTAAAAAGCAGAAAGCAGCACCTTACCTTACCAGGCAGTCCTAGGCCTCCTCTGATTGCACACTCTAACTGCTGGGGTGAAAGAGCAACAAAGAAGCAGCCTCTTCGCCACCAACAGTTAGCAATTTGAATTCCCCACCTTTTTCCCCTGCCTTTTTTTGATTGTAACTTGAAGCTCCACTCGCAAGTCGAAGCAAAATTTTGTGGCTAGAGCTGGTCGTAACTCGACATGTCGTATGTTGGGATGTTTGTAAGTCGAGGCACCACTGTATCTTTAAATTAATCAAAGTTCCCTGATTTAGGTACAGTGCCTACCTATGATTGGTTTAAAATCAGAAGACGAATGTTTCTATACTACTTCTTCCTGTTTCAGGGAGGACATTTGTGTTTGTAGGCATTCCATAAACATACTTACCATTCACACTAAGTGTGCTGGCGAAGTGGAAGTCTTTGTTTTATTTATTTATTTATATTAATTTGTGTTCCTCCTTTCTCCCCATAGAGGAACCAAGATAGTTTTTAACATTTTACCTGTTTAAAATTATTCAATTGTATTTTAAACAGTTTTATAATTTAATTGCTTTTTAATGTATATTTTACTGCTTTTCCCCCCAAAATTCTGTTCTTTTAATGCTGTGAGCCAGGAGAAAGATGGCCTATAAATAAGACAAATAAATGAATAATAAATAAGACAACTCATAGCAGGTAAAGGAACAAATTTAAAAGCACTGTATAAATATAACATTTAAAAAGCAAATAAACACAAGTTAGAACCACTACATGTCTAGAATAACTGCAAACATGCTGAAGTGCACAGATAAATAATCCATGTCATACACAGGCATGAGACATTTATTAAAGGACATTGGGATTTTGGGATGGTGAATTCTTAGCAATAATAAAAACACTACTTTTCTTGAGTAACACTGGTTGAGAACCATTAAACTAAGGGAATTAAAAAGGAAAGGAATCATTCAAGTCCAAGAGTTGAGCTGCCTTTTTTGGTGCTAGACAACCTGATACCTTCCACATCTTTTGGACTGCAAGTTTTATGGCCATCCTAACATAATTGAGTAGTAAGACGTTGTAGAAAATGCAATCCAGAACATCTGGACCTTTGTTGTTTCTAGCATAGCCTTATTAGGTTAGCATGAGATCCAGATCAAGCTAAATATTAAGGATCAATAAATTATTAAATCCATTCTGATATATTATGAAGCGAACCCATCTTTATATCATCTACTTGTCAAAATTGACCTGCACAGCAGGAATGATGGCATTATTAGCAGCATATTGCTGCTGATTAAAGACATTCTCATTTCAGGGAACACCTAACTTTATTCCATTGTTTGCAAGCCAGGTGTATCCCAGAATCAAAAAAGGGAGTCTTTAATTAATGACCATATGTTAAGTAAACCAGCTAATTTAAATAAAGTCATTCATCTAAATAAAATGAAATAAACTACTAAGTCTTAAAAAGAAAAAAAATTGTCTTAAGGAACAGTTCTCATACGTTTATGGAAAGTAATTGGTTAATCAATATCCTGAACATGATCAACACAATAGATCTGTTTTCAAAGAGGTATCTGTGTTTCAATGTGTTCAGCAAGCTCAGATTTATTTAGCATGAACTTTCTTGGATTATAATTCTAAAATAAATCTGCTATATGAATAAATGCTTCTTCAGATGTGTGGTCTTAGTCCATCTTTCCCAGTATTGTCCCGATTTGCAGTAGGTGTAGAACAGTGGTTCCCAACTTCAGAAAGCCTAGGTGTTCTTGGACTCCATCTTCCAGAAACCTTCACCAATTCCTATGCTGGCCACAGTTTCTGGGAGTTGTAATCCAAGAATACCTGGTTTAACCAGGCTTGGTAATCACTGGTCTAGAAGATCTAGGGTAGAGTTAATTCTAGCCCAGGTACTTTGAATCTGCTGGGGATTAAATGTGAAACTTCTGGTGTAAACTCTAGCGTTTGATGTAAAGTCACATTCAAATACTGTAGAGTACTCATTTTTGAAAAATAAAATAAAATATAAGCAAGATATGATTGCAACATAAAATGAAAAGAACTCAGATGTTTCATGGCATCATTCCCACATATATTTCAACAATTTCTCCCATCCTGACTTGGCCTCACTTGAAAGTATTTCACATTAGAATGAGCTGAAATCCAGTACAGTGGTGCCCTGCATGACGACAATAATCCGTTCCAGGAAAATCATTGTTAAACGAAATCATCGTCATGCGAATAGCCTTTCCCCATTGGAATGTATTGAAACCTGATTTAATGCGTTCCAATTGGGAAATTACCTCGTCATCTAGCGAAGATCGCCCATAGGGGAAGCCATTTTCCGAGCGCCGATCAGCTGTTAAAATGGCTGCCCTGCGAAGCATGGGTCTGGAAAAGACAGGGCAGCCATTTTGCGGAGCCAGAAAAATCGTCATCTTGCGAACAAATGGTTCGCGAAACATGGACCTAATCACCGTCCAGCGGAATTTCCCCATAGGAAACATCATCCTGCAGTTTCATTGTTTAGCGGGGTCATCGTCATGCGGGGCACCACATCGTCCTGCGATTTCGTTGTTTAGTGGGATCGTTGTCATGCGGGGCATCACTGTAGTAAGTTGCATATAGAATAGGCCCAATGAATCAGAGGGAATTTGGTGAGTTGGTTCCTCCAGGAGTTCCACTTACTCAATGGGCCTACTCGAGTTGCAACATACTAGTGGATATCAGCCATAGTAAAGCTAGAAATGACCCCGTGATCCCTCATCTAGTTTAACTGTATGCCAAAAGTAAGAAATCTGTAGCTAAAAGATTCTTGACATATGGCCATCCAACCTTTGTTTAATTGTAGGTGTAGAAAAATATGTTAGATCTGAGTAAGAAACCAAAATAGGTCTGATTTTATGTTAAGTTTAAAACGTGTTTCTCTCATTTGTTCCTTCTTTTTGGCAGAGAAATTTCTCCATGTCTGTAAATAGTGCTGCTGTCCTACGATTGATGGGACGAGGAGGAGGAACAGTGGTAGGGGCTCCTCGAGGTCGAAGTTCCTCTAGAGGTCGAGGTGAGATTTGTGAACATTAAAGTAGTGCCAGTGTTATATTGTAGAGGAAATGAACTTCTTAACCCCATGGAAAAAAAATTCAGCTTTATAATGCACAAGGGCTTTTGTTTCTTTGGAAGGAAAAATAGAATAAATGATACAAAATAATAAGTGATAAACAACAAATATGCACCGTATTAGAAAAAAATATGAACCAATTAAAGAAAATCTACCACAAGGCAGTAGTAGGAAGCAGAGTTAGAGTTGAGCCCAGCTGTTAGAAATAATGAGGACTCGTTTGCTAAAAGGTAATTAAGATTATTTCTGCATATGAATGCTTCCTGTGTTTTTATTAATGTTTAACCAACATTTATAGATACAGCAATGGAAGATGACATGAAATGGCTTTGAAAGTAAGGGCTGAGATGCATATTTTACATTAAAACCTTGAGGATCCTAGGATAGAGGGATCGCATATTAATAAATTAAAAATACATAGCCAGCTACAGATGGCAAAAAGGAGGACTCAACAGGTTTTACTTCACTACCTACCATAGTCATTGTAAATCTGCTTTGGTATCTGAGCTTTTCTGCCAGTAGAGCAGACATTGATTGAATTCCCCTTCCCCTCCTCCATATCCACTCTAAAAGATTGTGAAATCTTACAGTGAAAGTGGAAGTTTACTCACATAACATTTGGTCCAGAAGGGAGTACAGTGAGCCAGACTACAAAATAGAGATGAAACCTGACTAACAACCTACCAAAAATACAGAAATAAATGAATTCAGATACAGCAGACTCCAGCACTTTGAACTAATTGGTTCCCTGACTGTGCTGGAAAGAGAGTTATTATAAATCAAATTCTTATTTTCCTATTAGGCTCAGTGTTAAAGATTTTGTTTCTGGAGAACTTGCATGACTTATAAATGAAACCTCTGCTGTCCTCTCATTTCTTCTTCATACCTTATCTTCCTTGTTTGTTGGATGCTCCTCTCTGGCCTATGAGACTTTGTTTCTACTCTGCCGTGCCTCTTCTTTCTAGCTTGTTTACTAGGTGATCTCATCCCACCTGTGCTGTTTTCTCATTTCTCCAGCCCACCTCTTGTCCTTTGCTTGCTTCCTGGACTCTCCCCTCAATGTCTGCTGTCTTTTCATTTCTCAATCTCACATCTGTTCTCTTACTTGCTTGGTGGGTGGTCCCCTTGGATGACTTCTGTACTTTCTCCTCTTCTCACATCCTGCTACCCCACTTGGTGGTGTGTAACCACCACCACAGGGTTTGTACAAATGTGTTTTGGGCATTGTTTGAGGCATTAATATTGAAATTGGTTTAAAAGCTGGGAGTGGTAAAGCAAGGCATTGGAAATCAGGGATTCCCTGTACTAATCTGCATGGAACTGATCACAGAATTGGGGGTCAAAGTCCAGTTGCTAGCCTGATCTAGAATACACCCATGGAATGAGTTGCTGAATTATAAGTTAACACTTCTCAAAATCTCATTAAGCCAACTGGTCTGCACTATCTTTACAGCTGAATTTAGGCCCTTATTTATAGCAGTGATGTCTTAAATTAGGTGTGAAGAAGAAACTGCATTTAACAAAATTGGGCAGTGATTATGCTTGAATAATACATTAGGGGAAGTCTTTGAATTCCAGGTTTTTTTAGATATTCTTTCAATTCTTTTCCCAGATACGTACAATTTTATTTTATTTTCTATGACTGTTCTACCAATTATTTGATTATTTGTGTAAAAGAAAAATAGCATTAGTTTTCACGGGGGAAACATATTTGAATTTTTCTCACTTAAATTTTTTATTGTGCCTTGTGCGGTACCTGACAGAAATTCATGAATCCCTTCTTCTCCCTTCCCATAATCAACACTACTGAGGCTGCTCACACTGTGGTAGAGTTATGTGTGGTAATCCTGCACTGTTATTGGGACCAATTTAAGGTGAAGTTGCCAAGCAACTATTTCTTCTCTTCTTTTTCTAAATTGACTTGTAGAAAGTTTAGCAGCAGAAATAGGAAGTTGAACCTCAATCTGAAATAAAGTGATGTAAAATGAAATGATAAAGGAGTGATTTCAGTAGTTGTTGCTTGTGGTTTTGCACTGGGTTTTCTTTATCTTTTTTAGTGAAATACATGTTGGCCATAAGACAAATTAATAACCTTTATTAGGCAATGAAAAAGGGGAAAAATTGTCTGCAGACTTTCAAGGTAACATTTTTGTAACTCACGAGGGACCTTTGAGAGTGAAATCTGATGAGGCCTGCTTTAGCACCTTCTTTCCTATCTCCCATTTCCTTTCCTGTTTCCTAAGACAGCATGCACGCTATCTACTTTAACACCAAGCCTTTCCCTCCTTACTTTTGTAACATTTTTATAGTTTTAACTTGCCTATTAAAAATATTGCCAGAACTTATATTTGGTTTGGTTTGGTTTCTTTTAATCTTTATCATTAGAGATGAAGAATGGCAATTGAAGGAGGACAGATGTAACAGATTAAATACTTTTATGGAAATAAATTGGAGAGTCATTATGTATAAGTCCTAAAGCAGGGCTGATCCAAGGTATTTTGTTGCATGAGACAGAGTTGCAACTGGCACCCCCCCCCCCTTTAGATGCAGAGGAAGCAAAGCCAGCCTATTTGTTTTGACATATGAGGCAGAAGATTTCTAAAGCATGTTTCTCTACCTTTAGCAGTAAAAAATACAGCAATAACAAGGGAAAGAACCAGTAACATTTCTGGCATTTGACTCAAAGTTTCCTACCTGAGGAAGCTGCTTCACTCTTCTTAACAGAAAGGCTAGCACTTACTGTGATTACTCTCAGCATGATCCCTGATCTGCATTTTGTGTTGAATTCCACATACAAGACCATCAACTGCTTGTCTTTCATATATAGAGAGAGAACATTTTGTTAAGCACTTGACTGATAACATATGCCTCAAGGAAATACATGCAAGTGATTGAGGAGGCTTAGAGTATGGATGGCATGCTCTGTAAGCCCACTATACCCAGTATAGAAAACATGCAAGTTGCTGGGCAGGTGCAAGTAAACTTCTTTCTTTCGTGCCATGCTGTGCATAGAAATTCAGTGGGTTGCTGGACAAGGGCCAGAGTTCTCTACCTCTTCTCTGCCATCCCTCAGCAGGCTTGTCATTATTTTAGGAGGTTGTTTATAAGGCTGATGTAGGACAATTTATATTTTGATATAGCCTGTGTTTTATGAAGAATAGTAGAATTTGCACTTTCTGATTTGTCTTACTGTGGACATCTTTTAAAGATACTTTTAAAGAGGTAGCTGTATTAATCTGTTTCAGCACAGCAACAAAGAGAAACAAGAAAGAAAAAAATAGTTTTATGTCTCCTTTGAGATTAATAGATTATTTTTAGTTTGAGCTTTTATGGATTACAGTGAGAAATATGCATCTGAGAATGTTCATTGTAATCCATGAAAGCTAATGTTGTAATAAATTTCTGAGTCTTGAAAGTGCTTTGAAGAAAAATGATTTGAATTTTGTTTTGGCAAGGTTGGAGAGTAACCTTTCGTCATACTGATAACCAAGGACTTTTTAAAGATTATAAGGTATCAACCCTATTTTGTCTTTCAGGCAGAGCCAGAGGAGAAAGTGGCTTCTACCAAAGAAGTTTTGATGATGTGGAGGGTGGCTTTGGTCGAGGAGGGGGCAGAGAAATGCACAGATCACAGAGCTGGGAGGAAAGGTAACTTTAAAAGTGAATGCATTGAAATGGGGTGCATCTGAGTTGGAGGTCAGGTGATTAGCTGTGTTGATAAAGCCACAGATGTTGTTTGAAGTATGGTGTGTGGGTCAAATCTTAAAAGACAAATAGGACAAATCACATTGGGCAAACACGTTTTTTCAGTGAGCCAAGCAACATTTTGGATCCTAGCTGTGCTGTAAAGCTTATTTTTCTAGAGCATATTCTCCTGTGATTATTTCCATATATGTATCCAAATACTACAAGAACAAATATGAACATGTGCTTTAATGTGTTCATCAGAAATATATTCTATGTTATTCTTGTTGGGGTCTTTATGGGTACCTGCTCTAGAGAGCTTTGGCTATGGAGACAAAATTGTAAGTCATTTTTTATACTGTTTCTTTGTGACCTGAAAAAAACTCAACACAACACACTGGTTAGGGAGCTGAGATTGGCAACAGTTTCCCATTAAGAGTACACCCAGTAGTGAGGTAATTTTGATCTACTTAATTTTTTAAATGATCTGAGTATAGTATTTGTAATTATTGTGAAAAACAGATTAGTGTAATCTGAGTGAGCAGAAGTATTGGTAAAGAATGCTTAGACAAATAAGATGAATTTGGGATTATATGAAATGAATTAAGTTAGAAAAATATTCCTTATGGAATTTTGGAAAGAGTAGAGTTGATAGACTTCTGAAATCATGTGTAATTCCTTAAGTATTTACCAGAATAATAATAATAAATTAATCTGCTTTTATGCTACTGAGTTGAAATAAAATAAAATAATGTCAGAATTCTGGAACTGGTTTTGTAAACATGAGAAGATTGAGATTATTTGTACCAAAAAGTAGATATTTCTTCTTCATAAAAGTGCTCTTGAAATTAATGAAAATTTCAAATTTTCTATATAGTATGTGCATTAAGCATTGGGGGGGGGCAATTATATTGAACTATCCTGAATTTCTTAAATGAGCTTAAACATCAATCTAGAGGCTACCCTAGGCTAATGGGATGAAATAAATTAATCTAAGTAATATAAGGAAAGACAGATAATGTGATACATAAAAGTTAAAGTCGATCTTTTTTATGTGTTTCCTCAAATATTAGATAAGATTACTTCTGTTACCTTTTATTGCAACATGGAAGGATTAGTTAACAGCATGAGTTTTACTCACACTTGTTAGCTACTGTGAGTCCTTCTACAGCAGTGGTCCCCAACCTTGGGTAACCCAGGTGTTCTTGTACTGCAATTCCCAGAAGCCTTCACCACTAGCTGGGCTGGCTGCCATTTCTGGAGTCCAAGAATGCCCAGGTTTCCCAACTTTGGAACAACTGCTCTACAGGGGAAAATCAAATGGGTAAGTTAATACTTTTTAAAAGCCACTTATCTTCCTGGCCCATCATTATAAGCTAAAATAGGTGAAATCCTATGCCATCAGTAAGATGGACAAAAACAGTATTGAGAGCCTGTGGAATGTAACAAAATACAGTATTGAATAATCAAGGCAGATGCATAAGCAACACATCAGTGGTGTATATGTTCATCTTTTGACTGTTTTTTAAAAAAATCTTTTGTGATATGTAGAAGTTTAATGAGTATTTTTGGACAAAATAAAGTAAATGAAATAGTGGATTTAAAAATTCTATAGATTTATAAGCCTTATATTGTTGGAGTAGTCTTCTAAATTTTGAAAATTTCCTGAAATGTTTCTAAACATGTTTTTTTTGTCTTCACAGGGGAGATAGGCGATTTGAAAAACCAGGACGAAAAGAACCAGGTATGTGGGCTGTTGTGTTTCCCTCTTATAAAGCTCTATTAATAGCAGTTCATATTTTGTTTTATCATCATGCTTTCAGAATAGAGCTGAGTCTAAAATTACCTGAACCAACATTACAAAAGTTATGGTTGTGGTTTAATATAAGCTCTAGTGTCTCTAACAAAATATGATGGTACATGGGCAAAATAAATCGAAGAAAGATACCGTACTTTTCAGTAATTGTCCAAACTGAAATCTTTCACTGAGTTTCTGAAGGCAACACATGCTCAGCATGTTCAAAAATGAAAGTGGAACCTTTAAGCTTGGCTACTGATATTTATGTAGTAGGTATGGTGTTTATTTCCCCCCCTGCTATGAATGTTGTTGAAAACAGGAGGCTAGTTTAAGGCCCACTGCAAATGGCCTATTCATGGTCACTATGGGTCCTTTTTAAGGGGAAAGGCAAGGTAGATATTTTAAATAAATAAATAGTAAAGCTAGGCCTTACTGCAAAACAGGCTATGGATTGTTATGCTATACAGCCAGATTTCAGCCTGTAGTGAGATAGATAGAATTAAATTTTACTTTGAAATTAATGCAGAAATTTGCACTGACATACCATTAGATGTTTTGTTGCACAAAATAACTTGCAAGTGCACTGGGTTTACTGTATGACCAAGGCAGAGTTTTGTTCATGTTAAGTTCTCTCTCAGGAAGTATTTTTCTGTGAAACATTCCTGCCTTCTGTGCAGACTGCATAAGAATCAATTAATATTTAATATCAAATCAGTTTAAATCATGATTTATATTTTAAAACTTTTTTTAAATAGTTAAAAATCCAATTTTTTAAATCAGTTTGATTTAAACCACATTTACCCTGCTTCTGTGTATGGCATAATTAATATCTTACCAGACTAGAAGAGTAGCATACATTTTAATAGGATGCAGTGTTCACCACATGCATGCAGTCTACAGTTCTGCTTCTTAGTGCTGTTTGTTATACTGTATCTTTCTACCCCCCCCCCAAAAAAAAGATAGAGGGGGGATTGTACTTGTTCATCCTATACAGGGAATTTCTTGTAAGTCCTTCAGTGTCAGAGCATACTTCTAGAGGTCCCACTGAGTTTTACTGGGCTTCTCGGGTTTTAGGCTTTTCTGAGAGATTTTAAAGGTGGTGGCAGCAACTAAGAACCCATTTCTAATGAAAGTCAATAGGATTTGAGTGCATAACTTTAGCTTACCCTTCTCTGTAAGGAGTTTTTTTTCCAAATATAAACCCTGCATTTTGCAGTGGTGCCAGATTTCTATGGTGACCAGTACTTTAAATCTTTTTTAATGCCACTTGTATCCCTTTTAAAGCATCCAACTTATTTATTTTTGCTGCTGTTTTGTTCATCAACTTCTTGTGCCTTCTATGTTGCTTGGTGTATTTCAGCATAGAAATGTTCATACCGTATGTTATATGCTGCCAAGTCCCATCTGACTTGCGGTGGCCCTAATCAATTTTCATAGTATGTGTGATTTTTAAGGAGTATTTTAGCATTGCCACTCTCCAGTGAATTTCCAAATAGGGATATATGAACTCAAGTTTCGTCAGTCTTCATCTCACACTCTTATCTACTACAGCACCCGGGTGCAGTCATGCCATATACTTCAGAGTTAATAAATTTGAATCTTTTGAATAATACACTTCAATGTAGAAACATGCTTTAAAGTTTGTTTTCTCATTTTTTCCTGACAATCTTTTAAAGTAGGTTATTTTACAAAATCATAATACAGTATCTAAAGCCAAGTGTTGTGGCTGCCCAGTGAAGCTTTAAAGCTAAGCTGGGATTTGAACCAGCACTTTCCACATCCCTACAAAAATACCTAATGATTGCATCATGTAAGAATTGTTTTTGAAGTCTTGTTCCTTAAGTAACAATAGTGAACTGAGTAAATAATGATGTCTCATCAAGTTCACTCTGAGTTATATTGACCCTTTCCAGAGTATAAGGTACTGTTTGAAGTGCTCTGCAGTGCATGCACTAGAAATGAAACGAACACAGTTAATGATAATAACGTTAGTGTTAGTGTTAAAACATTCGCATTTTGTATTGAAATTGGCTGGAACAGCTTCTTACTGTTGGACTATTTCTAGCACAGACCTTAGTGCTGATGTTATCTGACTAAGCCGTTTGTCCTTGCAACATGTAATGCGCTTTAAAGCATGTGATTTCTTACTGCTTCTGGACCTTTATAGACATGCTTCTGTGGAATTACTAGTACAGTTAGATCCTGCAAATTGATAACTTGATCTGAAAAGACAAACGCAGCAATACAGCTTTTCTGATTATACTGCATATACAGTTTTAGGCTTACAGGAATATGTGAATGCAGGTCATCTCCTGGCTGTACTATTCAGTTCCTGAGTGAAATGTTGTACTAGTTTTGTTGTATCCATTGCATATGTTAAAAAGTGGGAGCTTCCACTAAAATTTAAAGAAATATTCTGGATTGCTTGTAATTTGAGAAGTAGGCTCTATAGGTTAAAGTCTGTACTTTTAGAGGCTGATAAGGCAGTAAAATCTTTAAATTGACCATGATGGACAAAGAATAAAGTGAGTACACATACATTTTAATGTATATTAATTCAGGGTGGTGATTGATAAAGCTATTCGGTCTCTGCATTGGGCTAAGCCATGTACAGTACACTGTGAATGAAAAGATTAAAGCTTCAGCACAGACAAGGGAATAAATAATTTCAAATCCCTGTAAGAGAACATAAGGGTCTAGTGCTATGGCATACCTATGTTCCAGAAATAAACATTTTCTACCACACAGGTTGTCATGATTCCTTGCTCACTTCTGTTGCAAAAGTTACTTCCTTTAATCTTAGTATGTGCTGACTAATCTAGTAGTTGCTTACACAGAACATCAGTATTAGTAACATTAATAAAATACTGGGGTTTTTTTTTTAGTTGCCTTAAGATGTTGTAGCAGCTATGAGTTGGCAGCTGGTACCATTGTGACCAGCTGGTTGACCAGAGCCCTGTCATGTTCTCAGTTTACCACAATATCAAAATCTTTACTGTTGGCTTCAAAACCATTTCATAGATTTAGAAAAGTGAGAGATGGTTTCTTAGAAAATACTCTATGATTTGATAACAAATCTCAACAGCAACACTAGTATATACATATAAATATCTTTATCCATGTTCAAGAACTAGATATCAGGCTCTTCACAAGAAGCCACTAACTAAATGGCCATTTGAAAGTGAGCATAGTGATACCTGTGCCATGTTTTCTGGGAAGAGCCTGTTAATTATCTTTTAACGTAAAAAATATTTAGTAGTTTTCATGATGCTCTGTAGTTTTTCTTGCTTTTGAGTACAGTGTAGTTACTAATATCTGTCTAGCCGAAAAAATGTTTAGAAACCGTAAAAGTGGCCCTTTAGGTGGACCATTTGCAAACTGTTCAGTTTAATCAAAAACAAACAACCACCAGTAGTTCTGGTAATAATTATGATTCATGGTTGGTATAGCGCCTTATGTTCAAATTCTCATAATTATATTTCATGTTTGTACAGTTATTTTAAAAAAGTCAAATGTTTAACTCTATTGTATGGACAGAGCATATATGTTGGAAAAGAACTGGATTAGATATAGGAAGCAATGAATATTTCTGATGACAGGACTATTCAGGCTTCGGTTTGCTACGAGACAGATACATGAGGTGTTGATTATTCTTGATAGGAGAATTGTGAATGCAAATAGTTGGAGTCCTCATGTCTGCTAGGTTTATTGCATGTTTTAAGTGTGAAAATAGTCCCAATGTAGAAAGAGTCTTTACTACATGTCAAGATTCTTGTAATTTACTTTCAACATAAAACTGCCTAAGGATGTTGTACTTGTTCTTAGCTGCTGGAACAAAGAGCTTCAGCAAATGCTTGTGATTTTCCTTAATAAACAAGCACAGCAGGATTGCAGTTTCACTGCCACAGAAAATACTAGCAACATTCTTCTTAATATGTTTAGACATCAGCATATTCTCTTGTAACCAAATAACAAGAGAGGGCTGATTCAAGGAATTTGAGAGATCTTCGGCTTTTCAGAAGAAGATTCTTTTTAGTTAAGTTAACTTACTATATCTATGTCCATTTTGTCACAGTATTTACCCTTGTGTCATGTAGTTAGATTTTTGACAAGCTGTCTGGATCTTTTTTTCAGGGTCAGTGCAGTTTTAATCATAGTCTGGTGAATTCAGCAGGTAGCACTTCTGTTTTCCCAGAATCTGTGCAGTGTTTCTTGTCCCTGACTCAGTTTTTGTGCAGTTAATCCAGCGTTTCCTCCAATTGTGTAGATCCTTTGCTCTTTGTTCTGCACACTGTTCTAAAGTCAAAGGTAGAGTACAAAAAGAGCACAAGAAAATGGGGAGGAAAGTGAAGACGTGATTGTCTAATCCTTTTTTTAAATAAAAAAATCTGGCATCACATTCAGTCTATTCAGTCAGACGGGTCTCACAAATCTGGAAGTTGTCAATGTGCTGTCCATTAATGCGTATCTCCATATCAGTCCTCTTTGAACTTTTGGAGTCCACTGCTGGAAGTTCTGGGATAGTCTTGTCAAAATTCTCCATCTTTATCTGATATTCCCCTTTGGCACCTCGAACCAACATAGAGGCAAAGTGGTGATGTAATATAATCTCAGATGGAAGATAGGATGTCCTCCTTTGGCATGTTTCTCCTGTGCCCTCTTGTGTGGCTGAAAGGAAGACTACTAGTTCAAAATGATGGTGTGCCTCCCTTTGCAGGAGAATTGCTAAAGGGCTTGATGGAGTTATAGAATGGTAATAGGTTAAGGGAAAAATAAAGAAAGGGCACTCTTCTGAAGTGATGCTGTCGAGATGGAAATCCACACTAGTTTGGTAAAGCTGTCCATTATCTCGTTCTTCATAAAGAACTGCAGAAATTCGAACACTAGTGAGTGGGCTTGGACGAGTATTGGCCACTTGGAACATTAGGTATGGTTTTCCTTCTCTGTGTGTCACTACTGCAGAGTAAGTGAATCGGATGGAGAGAGCTCGATTCTTTGGACGAGCAATTTTTGCTACAAATGCACCTAAATAAAAAGAGAATATAAATATTGATAATGTATATAAGTATTTTGTAGTGATCTGCTTAGTAGATAGAAATTGATAATGGTTAAGAAGGTGTCTTCACATTAGGATCACACTGCTATTGTTAATATCAGTATTTTGTACTTTCTCCCTTACTTTCTCCTATGATGTTTAAATCATTACATGATTTATACCACAAAAATGTTCATGGCCACTTTTAGAAACAACAGTTAATATTTGCCATTGTATTTGTATTGGAGAGAACAAGAGCTGTAGTCTCTCCTCTGACTGAGGTTTTCAGTGTAATGTGCTGTGCCCCCTTTGCATAGATTTACTCTTTAATAAATCTTTATTATATAGCAAATAATTTCTTAAACTTACAGTGATGTAAACATTTTTCATTTATTAGCCTATTGAAAAATTATTGTAAATAAAGCATCCCAGGGTTAAAAAGTTCTCCAATATTTACCAGTATCTCAGGTTACAGTCTTAAGCATACTTATGGGAAAATCTTTTATTAAAGGAAATTGTACCTGATGTCCTTGTAAAACTGTTAGGTTTGTAACTTAAGTTTTAACAAGATATAGCTGAACAAAAGGTAAAACTTGCAACTGTTCACATACATTACAGTTATGTAGATAAGTAGTTTTGAATTAAAACACTAATCAGGAAAGATCTGTATCCACCTGCACAGTATTGCTCAGTGAGATTTTTAGAAACATGTCCCTTCTTCTCATATAGTAAAATCTGAAATACATCCTTATCAGGCTGTTTTTAAAAGAAGTGTGTTTTTTCAGAATACTCAGTGGTATAGCCCTGTCCTTGTTCTTCTGCTCTAGTTTCATAAAATATCAAGGATTTTATTACAAGATAAGAGCTAATTACCTGTGATGAATGCTTCCAGCATGAGACCCAGGACCATTTGTATAGCAAGTAGAGCAATTGCACTTGGACAGTCTCCACTTGGGAACATCGTGCCGTAACCAATAGTAAGTTGTGTCTCCAGTGAAAACGAAAAAGCAGCTGTAAAGCTAGTGATGTACTTTACACAAATTGTGTGGTTTTCAGGTGGAGAATCATGGTCAATCTCCAGATCTCCATTCATTTCAGCTAGTAGGTACCAGAGGACGGCAAACACAAGCCAGTGAAGTACAAAAGAAGCCGAAAATACCAGCATCATCCATCTCCAACGCATATCCATTAAGATTCCCCAAGCATCTTTTAGGTATGCAAGACCTTTTCCTTGGGCACCATCCATCTGGAGTGTGCTGTGCCCATCTTTAGTGACCATTCTTGGGTACCGTTGGGCCAGAAGAGGAGCACTAGGTTTGGTGTTGTTGCCTTCTATAACTTCCGTCCTCATCTTCTGAAAATGAAAAGTAAAGAACTGTTGGATGCTTGTTTATCTGCAGCTCAGATGATGATCAGAGATTCTGACACATTGGCAGTGGACCAGATGCCACCTGCAGTTAGCCAAGGGAGTCTTAAGACATGCAGTTCTGAGAAAATTAACTCTGCTTTCATGGTACAATAATGATTACCTTAAAAATCCTTAGATGTCCGATCACTTTTAGTATCTCTATGTGATTTATAAATGTAAGCCAAACTTTCATGTTTTGACTGCTCAGGTTTCCATGTGGATTTAATGGTTTTGTTCCAAATTATTCAAGGCGTATTGCAAGTCTGAATTTTCTATAATTCAGAAAATTGTTTTGTTCTCTACTTTAGCAGGTATGTGTTTAATATTTAAGAAAAAAATCCTCTTATCAGAGCTATTTTTAATACTGTAAGTGCTATTTGGTAAATAACTCCTTTAGTGGCAACCTCAAGACTGTCACATCATATTTATTGCATGAAATTTTCCTCACAATAAATTTACGTGGAGGTTTCTACCTATATTTTATTGTTACCAACCATGATATTTTTATTGTCTAGAATTGTGGTACCTGGGATATAGCCTCTTCTGCTGAACATACTCAGGCCACTGATGATGTAAAGCTGCATTAAAAAAGGGGATAGAGAATAATACGGAAAATATTACGAAATTATATAAACTTGAAGGAAGTCCTGAGGAGAAAATGTCCAGTTCGAAACCACATTTGCCAAAAGCGAGACTGAATTGAGTGAGGGCTGTATTACACACTATTGTTACGAATGCAGTCAGGTTTTTGAGCAGCTTATGTTCCTGAGGAAGCTGCAAGTTTTCAGCATCTCCAGGCACAAAAAGAAAAACAAGCCTATTTTTATGAGCTGTTGTCTTACTGCACAAGAAAACTTTAAAAGTAGACACATAATAACCAAAATGAATATCCAGCTATGGTATCTCACTGTCTGCTAGTCTCTGAAATGAGTAACATGCAATAGGCAGAATTAGTTTATTGCTAAATGGTATTGCCACAGGACACCAGACTGAATTGACTAAATAACTGCTGGTAACATTGAAAGTATCTTTGTTGTGTTGTGTTTGCATATACAACAGCATGTTTGCACAAGAAATACAAATTGTTAATTATGGCATACAGGATACAAGTAACTCAAATCTAGCACATCTTGTGAGGGTTTTCACATTTTCCCAGTACAATCAGTCCAGACATACTTAGCCATAATCAATCAGTTATGCATTGCATCCTTACATTGAGTATGGATCATATATAATCTGTTTAATCCTGACCTACAGCTTTCAGACTTGGGAGTGTTATTCTATAGCTATTGAAATGTGAATCATGGTCAACTATGTATAATTGAGTGACTGTATATAATTGTAATGCACACCACTTTCTGTGTTACACATATATATTATGATATTGTTATTTATTTATGTCTCTTACATTTCTCTATCCTTCCGTAATGGAGTCTGATACATGCTTATTGTAGGCATGAATATGTTGATAAAAACGAGCTTAACAAATACTAAGAAATATATAGGCTGGTATGGAATGGAGTTAACCATAGTACTGCTTAGATCATAGAATCAGAGAATATTGGAGTTGGAAGGGGCCCATGTATCATCTACACAGTCTCCTCCACTCAACAGTGGATGTATCTGGAGAAGTAAAATACATGGAAACTACATGTTATTTGTTCTGTATTTTTAAAATGGGAATTTTGGTAAAAACTGAAATTCATGCAGTGCTTACTGGCATATCAAACCTAAACTTATTTTATTACTTTAGCAAAAAAATGCTTTGTTCATAACAAGGTTGTAAAATTGTATTGTTGGGCATACTTAGGTGTAAAAACCTTAGTTTTATACAAATGTAGTGGTGAACATATCGTGCAGAGAATTGAGAATTTGCTGTACTCTGGGCATTTCAATTCACAAACATTGAAGGTTGTGCTGTATATTATTTAACCTTCACTGCTTGTGAATTGTAATGCTCAGGTTGTGCTGTATTTTCAATTATTTAAGAATTGAGACACTAGAGAAAGTGCACATGAGCTTTTTCATTTAAAAAACCACACACACAATTTTTATAAGAAAAAAACATTATGGGGTGCTTGAAGGTCATATCAAGCCTGTAAAGACTGTATGTAAAGAATCCCTTCATTTCAGCAAAAACATTTCAGCCATGCTGCTTTTGACACATAATGGTTAAAGATTCTTGCTTGAAGTCCCACAAATTGAAAGATCCACAAAAAATTATATTCTGTGGTTGGTTACACAGGAGAAGAAGACCATTGGCAACTGATATATATGATGAGACAATGAAGAATACTGTAGTAGTAGTAATACTTAGCCTTATGTAGTGATTTAATTTTCTTAGAATACTTCATGTACAATAACTTATGAAAGAGGTCAATATTATTAGTTAATATTATTGTCCTTATATAGCAAACAGGGAAATAGACAGCTGATGTTGAGTGGAATTTGTGATCTCCCTGCTTTACAGCTTAGTTTCTTTGCCATTATACTATGCTAGCTGTATGCAAAATGTAGTAAGGATTGCATCCTAAAAACATTGTCTGATTAATTTCTGTATTAACTGTATGGTGATGTCCATGTGTATCTGATCAGGAAAAAATAAAGAGAAGATGGAAACAGTATACTGAAGGCCTTTACAGAAGAGATAAAAGTATGACAGAATCCATTGAAGAGAAAGACTATGACGAAGAACTTGCAGTTCTACAAAGTGAAGTGAAAACTCCTCTGAAATCACTAGGAGGCAATAAATGATGAGGGTAAATGGAATACCAGTAGAACTGTTTCAAACTACAGAGACTGAATTTGTCAAAATCCTAAGAAGAACATGCCAATAATTTTGAAAACAAAACTGGTCCACAGACTGGAAACGTTCAGTACACATTTCATTCCCCAGGAAAGGAGATGCCAAGAAATGCAGCAACTATAGGACCATTGCTCTTAATTTCTCATGCAAGCAAAATGATGCTCAAGGTGTTGCAACAAAGCTTTTATCTTATTTGAAGGAAGATGTGCCTGATGCTCAAGCTGCATTGATGCTCAAGGTGTTGCAACAAAGGTTTTTCCCATATTAGAAGGGAGAAATTCCTGAATGTGAAACCTGGATTCCAAAAAGGAAAAGGCACTTGAGATCATATCAGAAATATCTGCTGGCTACTGGAATGCACCAAAGAATTTCAGAAGAAGATTACTCTGTACTTTATAGACTACAGCAAAGCCTTTGTGTGGATCATGAGAAACTATGGGTTTTTCTGAAAGAAATGATTGTCCTGATGTAACCTGTGTTATTGGCAAGAAGCTACTGTTAGTACAGAATATATAGAGATAGAAAACTTTCCTATAGGCAAAGGTGGCAGACAAGGGTGCATTTTATCCCCTTATCTGTTTAATCCATATACAGATCAGATCATATGGAAAGCCTGACTGGATTCAGATGGAGTGAAAATTTATAGAAAAAATGTCAATAGTTTAAGATGTGCAGATGACACCATCTTACTAGCAGAAAGCAGCAATGACTTCTGATGAAAGTGAAAGAAGAAAATACTAAGGGAGGACTATAGTTAAGCATTAAGAAAAAGATCATTGCTGTTGAAGTACTATACAACTTTAAGATTGACAGTGAAGAAACTAAAATAGTGAAAGGTTTTGTATATCTTGATTCAGTCATCAATCCAGAGGGAGTGAGCAGCCAAGAAATCAGAAGAAGACTGAGACCATGAAGGAACTAAGGCCAAGATTACGCACACTATTGTATTCCCAATCACTATGCAGGGGTATGAAAGCTGGACAGTAAAGAAAGCTGACAGGAAAAAAATTAACTCATTTGAAATATAGCACTGGACGAAAGGTTTTCAGCTAACCCTGGACTGCCAGAAAGAGAAACAAGTAGGTCCTAGCACAAATCAAGCCTGAACTATTTCTGGAGTAAAAAATGATGAAACTGGGGTTGTCATACTTTCAGCACATCATAAGAAAGGCAGGTTCCCTAGAAAATGGGTAAGGTTTAGGCAGCAGGAAACGAGAAACACGCTTACAAAAAAGAAATGGATTGATTCCCTAAAGGGAAGCCACATGCTCGAGTTTACAAGAGCTGAGGATGGCTGTTAAAGTAAGACATTAGGCAGATATGTCATTCATAGGATCGACATAAATTGGAGTCAACTTGATGGCACATAACAACCTGATAGCAAGTAATTGTATATTTTACACATGAAATTAGTCAGTTATAAAGAGTACTTTTTGAATATAACTTGGTCTGTCATAGTGAAATATCTTTTGATGGAAGAAAATGAAGCGAGAAATTGGAAATGTATATTGAAATGAATGTGTATCATCCTAAAATGATACTATGTGTGTACTTCCTCACTTAGTGACAGAGGCACTGTGGGTTCTAAGTGGAGTCTAATCCACTTCAGAAGTATCCAGAGATCATCACTGGGCATAACATAATCTCTAAAATCACGTGGAAGGAGTGGCCTAGATGGAAATAATTCATCCCATTTCCTGTAACAGCCTGGTGAGGTGTTTGTACAAATATTCACCTTCAGGTCCTGAATGTAGGACAGGCAGGATGAAGCAGAATACAGTTTACATTGCTCCAGTAAATTAAGTAACTTCTGAGGATGGAAAAGGGAAATACTAATTTCTTTTATGTGGTCAGAAATATGCAGGTATGTGATAAGTGCCCCATAGAACTGGAAGTTCAATAACATTCTTGAGAGCAACCTTATGCAACTTATATCTCAATCCCGTCTTGTTTTAGAATTGAATGTCCAAGTAAGTGGAAGGTGAATGAGCAAGCACAATAGCTCTTTCAGTACAGTCAGGGTTAATTTATAGGAGACTTGGAACAAATGACATAAATGTGTACTATGAGTATACCTATACAAACATTGGAGCAAGAGATACAGGTGCTTTTTAAGTTCTAGAGATGGGCGCAAACTGCTGGTTTGGCGGTTTAGCTGGTTTGTTTATCACCACAACTGGTGTTCAGTGGTTTGTTGCTCTGCCCCCACCAACAGGTGCCCACTCAGAGGCAACACCCAAAGGAGGTGGGGCAGGGAAGCCAGGATGCTGCCTCGAGTGGACGCCCACCAGCAGGGCTGGGGCACCAGACTGCCAAACACCTGTTGCAGCAGTAAATGAACTGCTGAACCGGCAGTTGGTGCCCATCTCTAGTTTTAACTACAGTTACTTATGGTTCCTAGTAACCTGTCTTATGGAAAAGAAGCATGACAAAACATTGCTGTCTGTTGTACAGTTTTGTCTTTCATGAGTGAAAGAGCCCCAAAGATGCCTCAAGCCCTTTTCAATTCTTATTGACATTTTCTGTTTTACATTAGGTGATATTATTTTTAGGGGGGATTATTGGAGCTCATATAATATTTCAAATATGTCTGCAGTATAAATTTATGCACTTTTGTCATAATACTGACCGTTTTATTTTCAGTGCCTTTCTTAATAATCCCTAGATAGATTTTATTTCTTGTCTCTACCAAACCATTGCCATTTTCATCAAATTAGCCATAAAGTCCTCAAGGTAATTTGCTTTTAGTGGTAACAAAATGGTAATTCTGCATTTTGTTTTCCATCAGGGTATATATAATTGGGATTGTTTCCCCTGGTGTACATTTATACTTATATACATTTAATGTCTTTTACCTTTGGAAAATTTAATTGTAGTCTGACTGTGCTTTCATTATCCTAAATATCTTGATTTCATCCACAAGCTTAGTTCCCTCCCTGTTCACACTAGACTCCAGGTCATTTAGCAATAAATTATACTACTCTTAGTTCAGATTCTTAGCACAAACATTGTGAAAACTTACCATTTGTCCCTGCATTTTGAATGTTTATCCAGTGAGCTGCTAAGATTATTCAGTAGGCTTAAAATGAGAAATAATTGAATGTCCACTTTTCCATATCATTATTATGAAAAAAGTTGCCTCTGCCTTGTGGTATATGTGCACATGCAGATTGGTAATCTAATTTTAAACTAAACATTTTCAGAAACTCTGTATGTACTCCAATCTGAGAAGAGTCCAGAAATCAAAAGCAGAGTCACTAATCCATTGTTTCCACTCCACAAACACGTTCAGATAATTCAGAATCACAAGTTCAGATTGGGAGAATTTCCTGGTAATCTCAGGTTGGATTCAAAGGCTTCTCAGAGGTGGAGCTGCTATGAAGTTGAAGGTTGCTTCCAACAAATATACCTTAAATACACTGTTGATTAAAAATTCCTTTACAGAATCTTTTACCATTACATTGTCAGTTGAAAAGACCGCCAGAATATGATATGCCTATTGTAGGATACTTACTCTATTTTCCTGAAAATAAGCCCTAACCTGAAAATAAGCCCTAGTAGGATTTTTCAGGATGCTCATAATATAAGCCCTACCCCCAAGATAAGCCACAGTTAAGTAAACCTTGCCCTCCGCCATTGTGCAGCATTGTGCAGCAACCAGAAGGTGATGACTGTATTTGAATAAATGTAGATTGTTGTACATGAAAAAAATAAAACATCCCCTGAAAACAAGCTCTCATGCGTTTTTTGGAGCAAAAATTAATATAAGACCCTGTCTTATTTTCGGGAAAACACGGTATTAGAACCACATGAAAACAGACTCATGTCAAACTGTCACATTATTAAGTATGCTGTATAATAATCAATAAAGTAATTATTTCCTTAGAAACTATTGTTAGTTGAGCTGAAGCAAATTATTCTAAAATTACTGTGGAATCTGCCGGTTATTCTCCCCTAGCTGTTCTTACAGTATTAATGTAAACTTCTTGGAATGGACTTCCATTGCAGAAGTTTATGGATATCAGTTATTCTACTTCAGTCTTTTTCTTTGTAATGGATTGATTGCACCAACCTGAACCCTTCGTACTATAGCATTCTTTCCTGCTTGTTCTTTTCCCTTACACTTTTTTCAGTTTGCCTAAAGTAAGTAGCAGCTACTACAAGGAGGCAGCCAGAGGCACTCCCACTACCATCCATTCTCTTCCACTTGTGTTAGCTGGCTTCTGCAGTTGTGCAGCCTTATGTGAAATGTCTGTCCCAGATTGCATGCCTATCTACGTCTTTGAAACCTGAGGGATGTGTGTGTGAGAGAGGATGTGTGTATGTGCATAGTGTAGTGCTATGTTTTGAACTGTTTCTGCTGTCAGAGCTGAGATGTTGCTGCCTTGTGCCCTTTTTTAAGGAGAAAGGATAATTATAATAAAATTAAGGATGAGATTGAAGAGTGGATTAAAAGAGGATTAGCAAAAAAGGAGGAGATAGGTAGATAAACCTAAGTAGAATAAATGAGGCACCGTGGCATGTCAGGTAAGTTTTTTAAACTCTGAATAATAAGATGCTTGTGCTTTAATTTTGATTCTTATATTTTAAAATACAAATAGCAAGCATTTTAATTGCATTAACAAAATATAAATGCTGAAGCTTTCTTTAGCTTCAGCCTTCCATATCTACTGTTTTGTTTTGCTTTGTTAGTAGAATAAACATATTATGAATGTAGTTAAAGTGGAATAGAACTTGCAGCAGTCTAGAAGGCAACTTTGCTCAAGAATAGGAGTTCCCATGATGTGTGTGCACCTTGACATACTGGTTTGGGCACAAGAAAGTTAATTAACAATCTGATTTTAAGATTCATTATTCTGTTGTACAGTGAATATATTTAGGATAGATAATGCCATACCTGCAGAAATGGAGCATTGTGGAACGTGATAGTTTTGACCAAAATTGCTCTAGCCTTCTATAAACCTTGCAGGTATCTACAGCCAGAGACAGTTAGCTTTGCATGCCAGAGGTGCCTTCCCCGAAATGTAAAGGTTATCTCCCCTGGAGTGTTAAAAGTATTCCTCAGATGTTGTTGCTGTACATGAAAGATGATTCTGCTTAACGTTCATTAGTCTCCTTCCATCTACATACTTCCCAAGTATAGGAAGTAAAGTTTCTTTGTGTGAACGAGAAATGTGCTGTAGTTGAAGATCAGGTTCTTCTAAACCACTGACATTGTTTGGGATTTACACTGTAGGATGAATGGGGAGCTGAGCTCCTGAATGACTAAGAAATAATTGGGTTTAAATTTATTGAAGGTTTCCAGCTTTTAATTTGTATCCAACAAAGCAGAAGGATATTTTGTTGGGAGTAAAAAAATCTTCCAAGTCAATCTAATAGAATCCTTTGGAATACTAGTGTGATGGCACAAAATGAGAGAAGTCACAACAATGCAGTAACAATTGGCACTTTCTTAGTTTATGTCAGCCATGCTATATTACAGTCCAAGTTCAATATAAATATCAACATTGTAAAATTATACAGCTTTTAAAATTGTTTTTGAAAGTTTTTTAGGCAATTAAGTGTGTGTTAGGGGAAACTACTTTGGAAAAGTTTCCACAATATTTAGTTTTATACCGCAGTAGATATTTTTCAAAGCAAACTTTGCAAAAATCTTCCAAAAACATATATTTGCATTTGAAAATTTAAAACACAGAACAGGAAATATTAATGCAAATAGAATCTTCTGTCAACATAATGTACTTACCAGTGTCTTTGTAGCTTTTCTGATGGGGAGAGGGAAGAAGGATATAGATAAGTCTTGGATATGGTAAATGTGCCAAATGTATCTGTATACAGTGATCCCAGTGCAAGGAAGAAAACCCCTTTTGACATCCACTTTTGATGGATGTTTGTTCAAAATGGGCTTACCAGTCTCATTCCAGAGTTTATAATGTGGGGGGGTTGGTTTTTGTATGATGCTGATGTGATTGGTCATTTCATCTGCAGGGGGGCCAATTAGCTGTGGTCATGTGGAAAAGAATGCTGATTTGTTAGAGCTTTCTTTACCCAACACATACCCTAGCAGCTGTGAAGAAATCTACAAGAACTTACTTTGAGAAAGGGGTGCATTTTTTCTCTTAATCAGGATAGGGGTTTTTAGGTTTGCATAATCTTACTTAAGGTCTTACTTTGTGGTTCAAAGGAATGAAATTCCTTAGAAGCGTTTTCTGTTAAACTTTTCTTGTGGTAGCTGTTTAGAGTTCACACTTCAAAAATATTATCCTCTAGTCTAAGCAGATATAGGCATGTTGAGGTGAAGGTATCTTTCTATTTCATTTTTTTCTTTCAGAAAAAAAAACATACTTGTGTCTTGGGATTTGCAAACTCTATCACATGTAAGGGATATCAGTATAATATACAGTAAGTAAAATTTGCAAAATAGTTATGAGTAGTGTGCAAATGAAGTTAGAAGACTTTTAGCTGTAATGGGCCAGAATTCTTTATTTTGCTTGTCCTGGCTTGTTGATCATTGCTTGCAAGATTTAAATTGGAGATCATAATGTTATGTATTGGGTAATTCTTGCTGGATGGAGCATTTGGGTATGACCAAATTAAGCTATGAATATGCAGTGAGTAAATTTGTACTTTTCATAATTTATGCACTGTAGAATTAATTTTTTAGTTCAAAATCTGAATAGTTAAGACGAGAACTGAAACAAGGTGCATAATGTCCACCTTCCAAAACCACTTGCATGATCTGTGAGGGCAGCTTTGTAATGCAGTTCAGCATTTCACATTTTTCCTTAGTTAGCTGGGGATGTGAGGACTTTGATCGAACGTCAGACCTAAGAGGATCTGAGAAACAAAGACTGTGATTGTTTGCAGTAAAACTACTGAAGACCTGCTGTGAAAATTATTAATGTAGACCAATATAATGCTACTTAGAAACTGAAATCTCTCTCATGTTTTTCCTTTTAAAGCCCCCCACAAAATACAAAACATTAATTCTTCATTTCATTAGTAAAGAACATTTTAATACATGTTGAGGCACAGCACGGTAAAAGTGAAACATGACTGTGACCTTCATGGCCATGGGGACACTCCTCACTGAAGCAATTGTAAGAGGCTGCAATATATTTTAGTTCCCCTGTAGCACTTCTTTGTTTATTGCAGGCAGCATATATCTGATAACTTTATACCTATATTTTTAAATTAGTCTTAAAATGAAAACTTTGTCATAGAAGGCTGAGCATGTACCTACCTATTTGAGCTGTCACAAAAAGATATTTAAATCTTAAACTGAGGAAGTAAACCATAATACCCTAATGCAAATACAAAGATTTCCTTCCATAACCATTCCATTTAATGGCATTTGCAAAATTACAGAGCAGACTAGAACATTTGGAAAATATTAACCATTAAATACTTCACATGTTTGTATGAGAATGTTTGGATATCAGGTATGACAATTGAGTTGCATGGATACAGTTGTGAAAACTTGGTGTTCACTATAATGACTCTTCCTCACCTACCTGAATGCTGTGTGGGAAAGCTGTTACAAGTATAGGGAGAAGAGTCAACAAAAGTATGATAACATTTAGTCTGGGCAACTCTCAGCAATTAGAGTTACAGTTTCTTAAAGTGCATTGCATTTATTAGTGCATAATGAGCTTTTTTCCTAGTGAAGAAAGCCCCTACACTAGAGTATCTAAGACTGTCTTTTCCTTCAGGGAATTTAGTCACATAAATGTTTAAATTTTAAAAGACGTGCAACTGCAACAGTGAAAAGTGCACTGGGGATCTTGAAAATCCAGAGTTCTTGCCATGTATTGTCCCAATGTGAGACAGATACTGGAAGGAAATTTCTTTAGTATACAGTAGAACAGTATGGGTGTTTGTCTATCTTCTAGTAACATTATTGACATTGTTATTTGCTATTCTAGTAAAAATACCCTCAATAAACAAGTTTTCAAAAGATTGTATTCCAGAACACCACTTCAGTACTTTGAAGTTAGTCCCTTTTAAAACTTCAAATTACATAGCTGTAGACTTTGTTGGCTGGATGTCTTTGTTGTATCTGAAGTTTTCCATAAACACCATTGCTGGCTTCGGGTCAGACATGGAATGCAGGTGCCCTTTCACTGCTCCTTCTCCTCAGGAAGTCCAGTCAATTAGTTTCAGGCAAAGCCACAGATCTTTTTCTTTTTTCTTTTCATCCTGGGAAACCATGGCCAAACACTAACCACTGTGCCAAGTAATTTAAACTCAGTAAAATGCATGTGCCAGGTTTATAAACTACATTCATATTTACCTAATGTTAGAATTTGGGAAATGTGTGTTCCTTAATGTGAAGTAGTGTCGGTCAAGCCACTGTTTGCTTCCTGCATGTTAGTAACTTCAGAAGGTAATTTCTTGGTTCTTTTAGTTCAGTTTCAAAACAATTCTTCCTCCACTTTACAGTCAACAGGAGCTTTTATATTTGTTGCTGTCTCTTGATGAATACATCTGTATTGTCCCACATTTAAGAGCCACACAGCCTGGTTATTTGTGTCTTTATTCAGAAGCCAGTGCAACTGAGTTCAGTGGGACTTTCACCCTAGTAAGTGGGCTTAAGACTGCGACCTTAAATATGTTTCCATGGCTTTCCATCTCAAATTTATTCTGCCTTATGAAATGATGGTTGAATAGAAAGACACTGAAGCATTCCTCTAGTACAACCTCAGACTTCTCTGACTGATACTTTGGAGAAAGTCAAAATGCCAGAATTGTAGATTATAGTGTTTCCAACTCTATGGTGAATACATTTCAATGCAGCATACTGCTGTCCATAAACAAAGAAGATCCTGGAAAATGTTACATCTTCCTCATCTGTTCTCAGGCTGCTATAATTATTCAAAGCACCATCATGAATTACTATTTCCTTGATTCCTCATCTTCTGTGTTACTGTTTGAAAATACAGTACTCTGCAGATAAGAGTAGATGTTGTAATGTTAGTTATCTGGAACTGGTTCTTGCTGGATAATTGTTGTTGACCCAGTAATTTTAAAGATGCTTTGTGCTAAGTTTTGATTTTTTGAGGATCAATAGAACATGATGTTGAATTATACTTTATAGAATTTTTTACGCCGACAAGAACTTTTTCTTACTGTGCTGGATTATCTAGTGCTTAAAAACACCTCCCAAACAAAAAACAACAAAATAGTTATGCCATTGTAAACTGCAGGGACAGGAATAGTGTCTTGATACCGCTGAACTATGGTAAAGCAATCTCGTTGAACATCAGGTGGCATCTTGCTGTTTATTCAAACAAACTTTGCAGATGCTTTTCCATCACTTGTTACAGAGTGAACTTTTGACATTTTTAAATGGTTACAGCTGTGTTGTAGTTTCTTCACTAAACTGCCTTCTCAAAGATCAAAATTGCAAATCTGATTTTTACTTCACAAAAATCTTGAGAATAGTTTAAAGATAATAACCTTAACATTGGGAGGGAAGGCAAAGAAATACTATATTTGGTCTTTTATTCTTGTATCTTTACCTTCACTGATTTATATTACACGCTTCTAAATTATATTCCAAATGTCCATGATGATAAAAATACTCATCACTTATGCACTTAATTTTGTTTGCAGCAAGACCAAACTTTGAAGATGCTGGAACGGCAACAGCAGGAAGGAAGCATGAGTTTATACGCTCTGAGAGCGAGAACTGGCGCATCTTCAGAGAAGAACAAAATGGTGAAGAAGATGATGGAGGTTGGCGACTGGCTGGTTCACGACGGGATGGTGAAAGGTGGCGACCTCATAGTCCAGGTGAGAGGAAATACAACAAGGGGAACCACTTATTTAAAACAAAAGTCTTATTTAAAACAAAAACAGCAGTGAGTAAACAAAATCTGGAAGGAAACATTCTTTAAAAGATATCTGAGGCTGCTTAATGTTGGATATAATCACTTACAGTTTTTTAAAGAAGCATTTTTTCTTAACAACTATTTTGCCAGAATAGTCAATGCAAGAGCTTGTCTTACCTTCTCTGATTCTTTCCTACAAATGTTTTCAAATTTCATTTCTTGTATGAATTACCCTATATCCTGAGGTTGAGGAATCGTCAGATGCTTTCTTTTACTTGAATAGAAGTGGAAATAAATGTTTGTGGTAGAGAATGCTGCATTGTGTGCCTTTCTGACGTCAGACATAACTGATAAATGCACAATAAAGCAGCAGTGTGTCTAAGCTAGACAGTATTGAAATAACTGAATCAGCACCTCATGATGATCAGATGTGAGGATTTTACTTAGGGCATGGGTAATTTCAGTCCCTTTAACAGTATTTTATTTAGCATAAAGAAGAACTAAAAAGTAATCCTGTCAGTATGATAAGTCCTGAGGCTAAAATATTGTTTCAACTTTCTGCTGCATTATGTAGAATACTGAAGGCATCCTTGTAGTTCTCTATAATTTACAGACTACTGTTTCAGAACATAGTGATAATGCAGCTTTAATCTCCATTATTTTCAACTCACTTATTTGAAAGAGTTAGTTGTATGTAGAATCTGTAGTTATGTTACTGATTCTAGATATCTGTGAGACCAGCAAAATATTCTTTGTTTTCCAAAAGCAGTGTTCTCTTTTTAACCAAAATTCCTTCCGTTAATTAGACAAACAGTTGAGCTTTGTGTACACTCAGATCTAAAACTGCTGTTTCCTTTCTATGCTGTGGAACATTTAAAGTAAATTTAGGACCAGTCAGTGTCTGGCATCCAGTAATAAGTCACAACTAGAGTAGGCCCATTGAATCATTGAGGTTTTGGCAAGTCAACACATATGTGACTTCCATAGCTAGATTCAGTGGGCTTACTCTAGCTGCAATTTACTCCTGGATTTCACCCATTGTTATTAAAAAAAACCCACCTTTCTTACATTTATATCCTGACTTTCCCTTAAGAGGGAGTTCAAGGGTTAAGGTTACAAGAATTACCCATTCCATTTTATATCCATATCAGCTATATGAGGAAGATTAGTCATTATGAAAGGTGATGACTGACTCAAGACCACCTGGCAAGCAGGATGATTTCACACTCTCCTGTCCTTTTGCATCTTAGTTAGCTACATTTATGTTTCAGTTTCCCCTTATTGAAGTTGTGGTGGTGTACATAAATCTTCTCTTCCTCATTCTATCTTCAAAATAACCCTCAGAGGCAGGGGACAGTGAAAGAGAGAATGAGTGGCCCAAGGTCATTCGGGGAGCTTTGTGACTCACTTAGATCTCCCTAACAACTATAATGAAGTGACAATCATTGATTTCATACAAGAATAGAAATACAGTAGCTGGTTTGTGTATCAGGGTTGGAGAATATGGGGCTTTTTAGATCTTGTTGAGCTTCTTCAGCCCCTCCTTCCAGCCAGCATGACACAGGATCAGAGATTATGGAAATTGTAACTAGGAGAAAAACCAGAGCTCAGTGGTATAGCAAATGATTTAAATGCAGAAGGTCCCAGGCTCAAACCTTGGTAGCTGTTGGTAGGACTGGAAAATTTCATGCCAGAAACCCTAGAAAATTTAATGGCTGAAACGGTAAATCATTGTCAGGAATACTGAGCTAGTATTGGGCTAGCGCTCTAATGGCCTCACCCATATAAGACTTCTTCCTATGTCTTATGGAAGGCTACAGGCTTTACATTTGTTCTGGTGGACTGTAATAGGAAGAAGAAGATTTCTCACCTAGTTTAGAAGAATCTTTGCCTAAAATTTTGTGGTGAAGAAACTCCCAACTTTTCTAAATCAGTGAGCAGGTTATACTTTGATATGCCTGTTACTATTTCACCTTAAAATGCCTCTGTTAAATATAAAAGAATAACTATGTTTAAGAACTTACAGGCACATAGTGGAATGTTGTCATTTTTCTCTGTGTGTAATGTTTAACGTGTAGCTCAGCCTATCTGAGCTACAAAAAAAGATTCTTCACAAGTCTGAACAAAAAGATAATACATTTCCAGCATTAGAAAAATAAGTTACAGCAACCGTTTGTTTCAGTTGCTACAAGTGGAAAGTAACAGAATTGTTTAGTGCGTTAAAAATACAAAAAGTGCTTGCTAAATATACATGATCAGAGTGGAAGTTATGGTAGCTTCAGTCTCTTATTGATTGATCAAACTACTGTTCTCTGTGCGTTTCGGACAAAATAAAGATCCCCTATGTTGTCTTGCAAGAGACATGGTGGCGCTGCGGGTTAAACCGCAGAAGCCTCTGTGCTGTAAGGTCTGTAGATCTTCAGCTGTAAGATCGAATCCACGTGATGGAGTGAGCGCCCATCGCTTGTCCCAGCTCCCGCCAACCTAGCTGTTCGAAAGCATGCAATTGTGAGTAGATAAATAGGGAACACCTCGGTGGGAAGGTAACAGCGTTCCGTGTCTAAGTTGCACTGGCCATGTGACCACAGAAGATTGTCTTCGGACAAGCGCTGGCTCTCTGACTTGGAAACAGGGATGAGCACTGCCTCCTAGAGTCGAACACGACTGGACAAAAATTGTCAAGGGGAACCTTTTCCTTTACCTTTATGTTGTCTTGCATTCAGTTACTATGATGTGTGCTGATATGTACCAGCATCCCATGTGTATAATTCCAGCAGCCACTTATATCAGGGCGGCAAATTACAGCCTGTAACTGGTAAAACCAAGTTAACAATGTCTTACATTATCTTACACCAAGCTACATTTGAAGTTTATGACATTAAATATTCCAAAATGGTATGCATCAGTTTTCCTGGAAACTCTGTGCTTCATTTGGGAGATGTATCAGCACTAGCAATCACTACCTTAAAAGTCTTCCTGTTTCATCCTCTTGCAAGTTTAATTGCACTTGCAGAGCCATTTAGAAAAACCTCAGTACAGTATAATGTAGTCCCTTACAGATCCTTTGTCAGAATTCATATGTTAGCAAGCTGCCTCATCATGGTGACATGTAATACAAGGGTAGACTCAAGAACCCAAATTAGTAAATATAGTTTACAGATCATACTTCAGCTCCCAGAAAAAGGAGATTGTAAATTACCTGACAGATAGGAATGGCAAGCTGTGCAGAAGAGGATTTGGATAATTGATGTTTGGACTTGCTGGACTTCATAGTGCTTTATAGTACTGTCAGAAATGAATTAATCTTTAAAATATTAAATCAGTCATCATAAGTCTCAAACAGAGCTGTTTTCAAAAACCAGCAGTAACTTATTTAAAATCTGATCAAAAATGGCACAGTGCCCTTCAGATTCAATTTGGGAAAAGACATACAGAAAACAGACGCATTGTATATCTTGCCTGTTTTTTGTTTCTAAAGTAACACTGAACTTCAGGCACTTATTTAGTTCCTCTTTTCCCAGTTTCTGACAAGTTCACAGTCTGGAAAGCCCTTGTGACCAGTGGTTCCCAGCCCTTTTTAGCCACAGCCTCCTTTTATAATAGTCAGATAACCTGTGACTTACTACCACATTTTCATCAAAACACATTTTTTATGGGGTAAAGTCTTCCTTTTTCAAGAAGTAGAGACTTCTCTCTCCCCCAGAGGCCCTGCTTCTCATACATACACATACCTCCTAACTTTAATATCTGGCTCTGAAATGTCAAGGAATAAATTATTTAACAAGGTCTGCAACACATGTAAGGTGGCCCACTATCCTCCAGAAAACGCTTTGGGTTGCAAAACTCTGGATTAGACAGTATATCTTGTGCTTTGAGTTAATTTTGGGTCAAATTCTTCTTTTTAACATTTTCCTCATTTTTGTAACAGTTTCTCAAAAGCCTCTTGCTCAGAAGTTTCAACTTTGTATGAGAAATCAAGCTACACATCTTATGTGCCTGTTATTAACGCATTTCTTTTTCTTGTATGAGAAATCAAGCTACACATCTTACAGTATGTGCCTGTTATTAACGCATTTCTTTTTTAGTATGATTAATAAACATTATTTTTGACAGTCCAATCTTGCTAGCAAAGACTGTCCCTTGTGAATGATTTGCTTATGAGGTTTAGTGGTTCTTCATGCTATGACATTAATTCAGAATGTTTCAGTCCTTGTACATCTATTTGCTTGATGTTCTTTACATTAATAACCTGGGTCCAGGACATAATAGATTTAAAGGAGACATATCCCGAAGAAGAACAGTGGTTACAGTATCTTATAAATGCCTGTGTCAAGGTAGACCACAAGCTGTAGTGGCTTTCTGAAGTTCTGTCACTTTGTCCTCTCTTTTCCCTATCCTGTTTTTTTTCTGTCCCTTTCTCCTTCCAAACAAGTTCTTGCCCTTTGGAACTCTTTTGTAAAGTTACTTTCCCGCCCCCTTAGACGGCCCTCGTTCTGCAGGCTGGAGAGAACACATGGAGCGACGACGAAGGTTTGAATTTGATTTCCGAGACCGGGATGATGAACGGGGTTACCGAAGAGTGAGATGTGGCAGTGGTAGTATGGATGATGATAGAGATAGCCTTCCTGAATGGTGCTTAGAAGATGCTGAAGAGGAAATGGGCACTTTTGACTCATCTGGAGCATTCCTGTCTTTAAAAGTGAGAAACTTTCTGTGGAATTTACATAATGTGATGTGTATTATATATAACTAAAACTATAAGGTTTAATGTGTGTGTTTTTCTCCTTAGAAGGTTCAGAAGGAGCCAATTCCTGAGGAACAGGAAATGGATTTCCGCCCTGTAGAAGAGGGGGCAGCTGACTCTGATTCAGAAGGAAATCACAATGAAGAAGCCAAAGAAGCAGATAAGATTCATATGAAGGAAGGGGTTAAAGCAGAGCAAACAGCTGCAGGTAAGAAGAGTTTCTCTGGCTTATTCCTTACATACTGATTCCCCTTCCCAGATCAGTTAAGTAAAATTATCCATCATTTCAGAAGTAACAGAAGAAACAGTGAAAGAATCTTCACCATCCACCAGGTCAGGCACTCCACCAAAACCCCAGGCACAAGAGTCATTGCCAGCAAGCCTGCTTGAAAGAAGAGGAGATTGTATTTCAGAAGTAATAGAAAAAAATAATTATAAAGAGAACCAAACAGAGGATGTCCCATCAGCCAAAGTGCCCGGTAAAGAAGGTAATTAGACAGTTTGGGATGTGTCTGAAGTTTGATATACTGTTTGGGAGAATATATATCCAAAATATTCACATAAGATTATTAACATATAAATTAGACAAGCCAACTGAAAATTAAGTAGTTTTTCAAGCAACACTGAAAGCATGCCAGCCTATAGAGTGTAATAGTTTATTTAGGAATTAAAATTGCTTTGATACAACGCAGTACTTGGAATTTCAGTTCATCTCTTCACTCCTGTCTGTGTTCTTTAGTGTATTCATAGATATTGAGTGCAGAAGAAAATGCCTGTCATTTCTTGTTCTGGGAATGAAGGATGTGTTGAAGTTATATGTAGGGAACATCCCTGCTTTTCTCCTACTTGCAAATCAACTGAGGCTGGAAAGAGACTTTTGTAAGCAAAGACATATGTGGATTGTAAGCAGTCTAACAATTACCTCTAGCCTACAGCCAGTCAGTTGCCTTTCATCACTGTAAAGCATTTTCATTTGCAGACTTTAAGTTGGAAAACAATAGCTGCTTCTTCATGGTCTCTGTGAGTGCACACTAGGGTTTAATTTGCGCTTGCGCAGAGTTTTCTGGAATATTCTACAGCTTATCACGTGTTCGCCAGGACCATCCCCTAGTACATGTGGTCCGCCCATCCTGGCGATTGCCTCAATTCCCTTTTGCTGCTGATGATATTTCTTCTCTCAATGAGCTCTCCGTTTGCACATATCTTCTCTTCTACATTAAAAGAAAAACAGAAGGAAATAAGTGAGAGACTTTTGATTCTATATTCCCTCTTCCAACCACCCCCCTCCCCTTCCCTTCCTTTTCCCTTCGCCATTTTATGGCCCCTACACGGCTGTTCAAACTGTGCACTTTGTACCCCAACAAGGTCCCTCTCTCAGACAGACACAATTCTTGTCTCTCTTGCCTCAGAGAATCCCATCAACCTGCCTTGTGCCACTTCTGTAAAAATCTCACAAAGCAGGTTCTTAAACTCTGGCAATATCTCAGGTCTTTTTTCTGGGAATGCTCCCTTTGTCCTGTACTGGCCATGGAATCTACGCAGCCTTCCCAGGTTCGCTCTGCTTTGCCTGATGTCCGTACAAATTCTCGAACGCTTAAATCTAAATCAATTTCTAAGTCTAAATCCTCAGGATCAAAATCGACACTGATACCAAAGCTCTTCTCGACATCGGAACATTCTAAGCCCAAGAAGTCAAATCTTCTACCGAGCTTCAACCTCCTAAACAAGTATCCTCTACACACACAACTGATAAGTCTATGTCCTCAATCCCGCTCCAGGATGAACTGACTGACTGTCTTGATTCCATTTTGGTGGATGATGACGAATATATACCTTCACCTCTTTTAGTCCAGTCTTCGCCATGGGCTAACACCTCGGCTGAGGTGACAATACTACCACAATTGGACCATTTGAGCCCCTCGGGTTGCTCTGTTCTGTGTGTCAGTCAGATTTAGCATCTGTTTTAGCTGATCTGCAGCTCCCACAGAAACGATCTCAGAAGACACACCATACACCAGAAACGTGTCCATCCAGTGCAGACCTTCCACAACCTCCAGTGTCTATGGGGTTGTTGGCATCGCATGCTTCCTTAACTGGATACCGCCATCCTAAACGAGTGTACGAGCTTCCAACATACTATGAGCTACCATCCGAGTGATACTGACATCACTCATGCCGTTACTGGCAGCTTCATACCAATCTCTATATCGAGCCGAAGCGCCCTCAGTACTCGTACTACTATCATTCTGGCTCCTTGGACTCACAGTCCCCTCTTTGTTAACGTCTACGGCCACAAGAATACGATCAATCCTCTTCTGCGGATAATCCCACACTCCCTCCTGTGGTACCAAACCTACAGAAGCCTTCCAGCAAGAGGAGGCATGCCCCTCAACATCCTTCAGTGCAACCACCTATGGTAGCAAAACACTCCCAATCTTCAGCCTTGACTTCAGTACTAACTGTTGAACCTGCCACGCTCTCGCATGTCCAGGCTTCCTCTCTTCAGGTGACTACAACTTATACTGGACCTTCTCCCGCGCCTCTAGATGCAAATCAGTCCCGTCAGCTTAAACATATTAAACCTCACCATGCTTCCGCTCACTCTCTACCTTCTAAACATAGTACAGGCAAACCAAAGAGCTACACCTTTGATATTCCACCAGATGTTCAGGTTTCTCCATGCCGATCTTCTTCCCTGACATCATCTGATTCTGATACTTCAGGCTCCTTACCACCGCAGGAGTCCCTTCCTAACTTATCAACACCTGACTCTGATGTGGCTGATACCAACCCTCCATCTCCATCAGAAGATTTCTCTTCTTATTCTCAATTGTGGACCTTGACATACAACAACTGGTCCAATTTGAATCAGACAAAGTCTATGAAGATATTAATGAAGATCAGACTCCTCCACTTTGTATGGGATTTATCCTATCTCTTCTAAAACTGATCAAACAATCATGGTCCAAACCAGTGGTGTCCAGCCTTGGCCCTCCAGATGTTCTTGGACTTCAGCTCCCAGAAATCCTGGCCAGCTGTAGTCTAAGAACATCTGGAGGGCCAAGGTTGGACACCACTGGTCCAAACCATCCTCGATACCACAACTCTCTAGAAGAGTTGAAAATTTATACAAAACGCATGGAGACAATATTGCCTTCCTCTCCAAACATCCACTTCCAAATTCGGTAATAATAGATGCTACTCAAAACAGAGCTCGAAACCGTTCTAACACGACATCTAATAACAAGGAAGGCAAAAAGCTCGATATCATTGGCCACAGAGTCTATTCCCTTGCTTCCTTCACTCTGCGCTGCAAATTACTTAGTAGCCATGGGAGCATGCCGTCGGTTCTTATGGAACAAGGCCCTCCCAGCACTTCAATCAGCACCTGGTGACTACAAATCACATTGCCTTGCTTTTCATCAAGAGGCCGTGGCTCTAGTATGTCAAGAGCGCATCACTGCATGACATGTTATTGAGTCTGCATCAAAACACATGGCTACCGCTGTCGCCCTCCAAAGACACGCTTGGCTTCATTCAGCCCATATTTCTGATTCCAACATGCGCATTGAGGACATGCCATTATTGATGGCATTGGCCTTTTCAATAATAAAACTGATGAGATTTTGGACAACCTCCAAAAAATGAGGAAAACAGCATGCTCAAACAACACACAACCGTACTACAGAGCCCAACAATATCAATGGTGTCTCCCCTACTCCTACCAACAATACAAACCCTTTCCTGACGAACAGTGATACCACAGTTCTCCTCTTCCTTTCAACCTCGATATTCTGCACAAAGAATCCTCAACAGTCTTTCCAGTGACCTGACAAGAAAATAAAGCAGAGTCTTTGACTTCCACACAGCCCAGATTCCACTGTCCTACCCCATGCCCTTCAATACTACTCGCCTTGCAGCCCACCTTCCATCTTGGGCAGCCATCACCACTGACAGTTGGGTCGTCACTATCATTGCCATAGGCTACGCAATAGAATTCACATTCCTACCACCACCAAGAACAATTCTTGCCACACCATGACATGTCCTTAAAAAGGAGATCCATTCCCTCTTCTTGAAGGATGCTGTATCACTCATCACCCCATCAGAAAACTTCCTGGGGTTCTTTTCTTGGTACTTCGCAGTACTGAAAAGAGACGGAGGTCTTCGTCCCATTCCTGACCTCAGAGATCTCAATTACTACATAATCCAGAGCCGTTTTCGCATGGTGACACTAAAACGCATTCTGTCCATCCTTCAAGAGAACGGCTGGTTTGCTGTCATCGATTTAAAGGATGCCTATTTCCACATCATCTGCCAAGACCACCGAAATTTCTCAGATTCTGCCTCGGAAACGCTGCCTACGAGTTCAAAGCCCTCCCATTTGGACTTTCCACCACTCCTCATATTCACAAAATGCATGGCTCCCATAGCCGCCCATCTCCACACACAAGGAATCGCCATCTTCCCATACATTGACGACTGGTTGCTTGTAGCCCCCTCACATTCTTAAGCACTATACAATATAGACTACACTCTCTCCCTCCTCGAGAATCTGGCCTAAGAGTCAACAAGGACAGAGCTACTCTGATTCCTTCGCAGAAGGTGACTTACATAGGCGCAATTCTAGACTCACGAAAGGCAAGAGCCTTTCTTCCACCGGAACATGCAATGAAGATTCACATTATTCTCCAGCATTTCCAACCTCATGTGACGGTCAACACACACCAGACGCAGCGACTTCTCAGTCTCATCGCATCCACCACATCAGTCATACAGCATGCTTGCCTAAAAATGCACTCGCTGCAAGCGTGGTACCTGTCCCTCTTTGACCCCATGTCTGACCCACCTACGAAACAACTAAGAGTTACTCCCGAACTTGCAGCCCAACTACTGTGGTGGGACACCACAGTTAATCTCTTTATGGGCAGACCTTTTGCACCCCTTCAACTCGCTGTACAGGTTACCACAGATGCAAGTCCCACTGGTTGGGGAGCTCACTGCAACAGCCTCCACATTCATGCCCTCTGGTCTCGCTCTGAGGAATGCCTTCATATCAACAACCTAGAGTTCCTAGCCATTTTCAAAGCTTTCTGCGCTTTGGAACCACTAGTTACAGGCGCAGCCATACAAGTAACCACAGACAATACCACTGCACTTTTTTTATGTCAACGAGCAGAGAGGCATCCACTCTCTCCCCTGCTATACCTTACCGTTCAACTTTGGGAGTGGTGCTTTGAACACCATATTTTCCTGATAGCAGTCTATATCTCCACTCAACGCAACCTGTTGGCGGATTCACTAAGCAGACTTCGCACCCAGATGCACAAATGGGTCCTCGACGACGACGTCTTCCACCAGCTTTCCAACCTGTGGGAAAAGCCACACATCGACATTTTTGCCGCAGCTCAAAACACAAAAGGTGCTCTTTACAGTTCCAGAGCAGGAATTAGTCGAGGCTCCCTTGGAGACACACTCATGACCCAAT